CTGGTGAGATGAAACGTTGGGTAGTTTGGCTTGCGAGCATTTCAATAATGGTTTTCTTTTGAGGTAACACTATTCTTGCCCCCAAAGATCTGTCGTTCACTTTCTATTCGATGGAACAAAGAGTGACTTTATCAACCTTAACTTAAGATGAGTGCAAAAATGTATGACAAACGTGGATGGAAAAGTATCATGGGAACTTGGTGTTAAAATTTTCGATTGACGGAAGCGTGTAAGAATTGGATACAACTTTGTGTGGTTATTTCATGTTGCTAAAGCTCATTTTTGCATTTTTTATGAGAAGAGAGTAAGTCAAACCATGAGAAAATCAATAAGCACTCACTCTACTCTCACTTTCGATATCATGCTCGAATTCAGCCTCACTCATTCCTAAGGGTGCTTTGAGCATATGACATTTCAGCTACCATTAAAATTCGGGTCACTATGAAAGGCCTTCTTTTATGTTGATGGTCAAATATGTTCGGGGTAATGGCTTTTTCAAATGAGGGGATTCTTACGAAGTCTGATTTTGGTCCTTTGAAGTTTCTTGTAAAGGGATCTTGGTTTGCTCCCGAATATTAGGTTAAATGATGGACCAGAGTGATCCTAATGGCAATCATCATGGTTTTCCTCGAGCAATTCTTGCTTTCTCAAAAATAGTGGTGGCTTTTGGACATCTTGGGGAATGCGTCTTACGCTGCCCCCTTGTCTTGAGATTTTAGGAGGTGGGGTCAGATGGTGAACAAATGAGGTCTTTGTGAATGTGAACTTGGCTATGGGAAGTCTCATCACATAGGTTCTTTGCTTAAGGTTAGCCAGCAAATATTTTGATTTGCCGTGAATGGTTGACTTCAAATGCTAATGAAAGGGCCTCTAACATGTAAGTCCCACAACAATTTATCTTTTTCTTTGCCTTTTTTGCTTTGCTTTGCTTTTTTTTTTTTTTTTTTTTTTTTTTTGTCGTGGGACTTACTTAACTTGGTTATGGCACAAAATATGCTTCCCTTATTCTCCCCTTTTACATTTGTATAACTAAACAGGAGTATCAAAAGGTTAGTACTTCACAATGCAAGTGTATTTTCTCGTTGGATTGGCTGGTTGGTTGCTCTTTTCTCGAAAGAGCAAAACTTCTAATGCCATTGGGCTTATTTGAATTTTTTTCTTGGTTGGCTTCATATGTATTTGGATCCCAATTCGCTAGCAAAAGAGTTGGCAATGATGGTGACGAGATTCTACAAGTAGCCTGATGTCATACGCTCGTTACACCTTTTGACTACTCACTCACACGATTTGTGTACACTAAACGGGGTGTTACACTCTTAGTTATGGCGCAGTGTGCACACACTCAACACAATGGGTTGCTCATAATCGATCGAACACCAGTGGGGTGCTCAAATTTTCGATACTAGTAGGGCATTTATAATCACTCGACATCGATATGATGCTTAAACTCACAACACCAGTAGGGTGCTCATATTTGCTTAGCGTGGCAATCACATGGCTCGTCTTGAAGACTTAAAAAAAAAAAAATGAACTTTTATGGTTGAGAATGAAGAAGAAGAGAAAAAAACAATTTTCAACAAATGAAAATTCACCACTTTTAACAACGAAACATTGATGCAAACTCATAGATTAAGGTTGATATAGTCACACAATGATCTAAATAAGTCAAAATGTGAAAGATCTTTTATTCATGACGATGAAAGAAAAGGTGATACATCTTAGCAGGGCAAATGATCTCGACATTTATTTACTTAATATGGTGAGGATCATTCTTGCATCGAGCTTTGCCTTGTAGTAAACACACTAATTTCCATGAGTTGGAAGTGGGTTATTGTTGATGTCTGGACGATCTGGCTTCCCTTCAAATTTCAACCAACCTGCATTCATCATTTGTTGGACCTTAATCTTGAACGCTCTACAACTTTCAATTGAGTGTCCTGCAACTCCAGAGTGGTAAGCACAATGTTGTTCTGACTTGTACCATGGTGGGTATGGGGATTGCATAGGTTCACACGGTAAAATAGAAACTAGACGACTTTCAAGTAGTTGGGGAAGAAGTTCAGTGTATGTGATTGGAATAGGGTCAATCTGGATGGGTTTCTTGTATCTCCCAAAATTATTTTGCTCTTGGTTATTTGGTGGTGGTGCTACTGGTGGCGAATTTTGGACTGGTGGTTGAGTAGGAAAACTCGGATGTTGAGTAATTAGTGCAGTGTTTGAAACATAGGGATGAGCTTGATTGCTTTGGGGTTGGTGATTCCACCTTCTTCCTCTTGATGAATCCTCTTGAGCAGAATGAACGTCTCCATCTCCCCTTCGGGTTTGGTATGGTTTCTTGGAGGCTTCTGGACTTTCCATACGGCCTTGCTTCAATCCCTTTTCAATCCGCTCTCCAATTACTAACAAGTCCGCAAAGTTGGTTGTGGTAATCCCCACCATGTTGTTGTAATACGGAACCCTCAATGTTCCGAAGAAGATTGACACCATTTCCTTTTCTGACAGCGGGGGTTGAACATCTGCCGCCTTCTCCCTCCATCTATGAGCATACTCTCTGAACGATTCTTTCTCGTTCTTTTCCATATTACGTAGATCCTCCCGATTTGGGGCCAAATCCTGGTTATGCTTGTAATGCCTCATGAATGCATCGGCTAGGTCTTGCCACCTTTTTACTTTCGTTTTCTCTAATTGCATATACCATCTCAGCGCGGAGCTGCTCAAACTATTTTGGAAGCAATGTATCATCAACCTTTCATCACGAATATAGTTAGCCATTTTATTACAAAACATGACTAGATGGCTTCTTGGGCAAGTAGTGCCATTGTATCTTTCAAATTCAGGCATTTGAAATTTATGGGGAATTATGACATCTGGGACTAAACATAGTTGTGATGCATCCATAGGCTCATAGGATTCAAATCCTTCTATGCTTCTTATTCGTTCATTCATGTGCTCTAATTTTTCTTTTAGCATAGCATCAACCCCATGTTCCTCATGCTTCTCAGTCTCTTCTGATTTGTCATGCTTTGGTTGTCCCATGACATTTTCGTCACATGTGTTCTTCGAAGGTATGAGAATAAATTTACTACCCGATGGATCCCCTTTAGGTGGTTCATAATGATCTTCTTCGTCGAATATCACTTCTTCTTCGTTAGTTGCAACCCCCTTTCCTTTTCCTGATAATATGCTCAAAATTGTGTTGAGTTGACCTTTCATCTCATCAAAAACCACCAGTTTTTCATCGAAACCCGTCAGTTTCTCATCAAACCCTGTTAGCTTCCCATTGATGTCGTTTATCTGTTTCTGAAATGCCTCCATGAAGACCTTGAGTTTTGATCTAGTGAGGTGCTTAAAAGGCTGATTTTTTCCTGGTAGGCGAGCAATTTTAAGGAACCCTGACAAATTTATTGTTTGTTAAACGGTTTGGTATATATGATGCTTATGATGGCTAAATGATGTGATTGTGTAAATGCAAAGATGACTTTAATGGATGCATGTGCTTTATCTTTTATGATTTTGAATAGGATGAATGCTAATGTCATGAATTTTGAAAAGCTTTTATGTTCATAATAAAATCACATTATTTATGAGTAATCAATAATGCACACATTATCACATTAAAAGCAAACATATATCTAAATTAAAAAACAATTCTCTACATAAAATGTTATGGAAGATTTGACGATAGGTTTAGACGAGATGGTGTTGGGCGGCTGCTAAGCTTACTAAATGGTTGGTAAAGGTATCTAGGAAAATACCCAAGTTGTATCCTACTATTGCTCTTTCAAGCTTAGCCGGATACCTCAAATCAACCTCGGATTTGAGTTCAACTTGGTTAGTAAGTTTCACGATATTCCCCTACTATTGTAGGAGTCACGTTACACCTTGCAATTTCTAAAGGAGAGCTCGGGTATAGAGCTTTTTATGTACGAAATGAAATTAACTATAAAGTAAATAAAAAGCTCAAACAATATAGTAAAACACATAACACCCAAAAAGAAAGTAAGAAAAGCTTATCGATTTAGCTATGTAGCTCGACTCTAAAAAGTCCCCAGCGGAGTCGCCACTGTCGCAACTGCACCTCCGAAATCGGGGTACCCGTCACGAATTGCTCGGAGTCGCCATCGATCATATTTTGTGGTGGATCGAACACCATTTGACTCTATTTCAACCATGGAGTCGAAACCGGGATTTGGTCTGCGAATTTTTGAGTTGGGTTCGGGAGTACGGTTACGTGTGGGGAAGTGTATTCACACCCCACAACGCCCAAAATTGGTACTACTTAAATCGATAAGTTTTTAAGGGTTAGGTGTATTATAATTTGTGCCTTATTTACATATTTAATTAATTGATTTGATTAATTACATGTTTGTTATTAATAGTTGATCATACGTCTATTAACGTAATTCTCAAAATTAAAGAAAGAGTTTTTAGATTAGTTGGACTCGAACCTATTGGTTGCCTACGTACCCGAGTAGTCGGGATCAAAGTCCACGTAGTTCGATCGGACTTTGAAAATTTTAAATAAAGTTATTACCACATTCCACTAACCGTGGTTCTCGTATCAAAATTTATTGTTAGTAAAATTTAATTTGATTATTATGAAATTATGAAAAGAGAATATAATGATTTAAATTATTAGGAAGAGGCTTGACTCGTATTGGAAAAGAAACGGGGTAAACTTAATCCGCATTTAACAATTCGTATTAAGGATTTTAAATGAATAAAAGTATACGGGATTATAAAATTATCGCATGAGGGCCAGCAGCCCAACTGGCTTAAACGCCAGATCAAATTCGCGTTTGACAGAGGGAACAAGGGTTCGAAACGCGCTAACTACAAATTTTTTTCTCTTTTTAGAGCAGAGAAGGGGGAAGGGTATTGTGGTAATTACCCAAAAACGCGGTGGCACAGCCGCGTTAATATTTGGAAACCCTAAGGGCAGTTTTGTCATTTCACACTAAGGGGTATATATTCATCTTTTAGGTCGAAAAAATCAACCCTATTCGACCTAGCGGCCGCCGCTCTCTACCATCAGTCTCGCCTCTCTCTCTCTCTCTCTCTCTCTCTCTCTCTCTCGTTTTTTCATCTGCAGAAAGAACACAAAAAAAAAAACCAACACTCTCCTCCCCTCCCTCGTCTCTCTCTCATTCTCTTGCTCTCGCCTCTCTTCTTCGAACCAAAACCCCTCTGGGTTTTCACCGCCGCCAGCCTCTTCTTCTTCCTTCCCTTCCCCGATCAAAAATGCCGCCGCTCTCCTCTCTGCGAAAACCTAACCGCCGCCGCTCTCCCTCTCTATCTCGCCTCTCTCTCACCTCTAAAAACCCAAAAAACCTAGCCTAAACACACCCCAAATGGTCGCCGTTGCTCTCTTTCTCGGCTGGCCAAGGGAATCGCTCGCATCAAGTTAAATCGACCTAGAAGGTCTCGATCTAGGTAAGATCCTAGACATGCATGCTCTTTTTTAATTCGTTTTAGGCGATTTCTGTTTTTATTTGGGTTTTGGGGGAGTTCGGGTTCTCACCGTTCTTCTTTTTCTGGGTTTTGAGGGTCGGATCTGGGCGAAGGACGAAGACCGGCGGCGACAGGCCGACGACAACACAGGTAGGTTTTTTTTTGTTTTGGTAATTTTTATTTTTGGTTTATGAACCCTTTAATCGACCCTGACTTCTATTTTTGTTTTGAAGCAGGTCTTAAGACGAAATTGATTAGGTGAGGTTCCCTAAATTTGATTGGTGATTATTTTGTGAATCTGGAAATGATTCACAGATCTGGTATTTTGGAAAAATGTTTGTGTATTTGGCGACTTTTGGGACTTAGGGGGTTGGGGATGGTGTGTTGATTTTGTTGTTCTATTACATTTCCAATATGCATGATATATTTTTATGTATGTGCAAAAATAATGCTAGAATTGAAATATGACATATATGAAATAAATAATAAATAAAAAAAAGTATAAGTAGCATAATAAATAAATAGTAATTAGTTTAATGTTAAAGGTAAAGATAGTAATAAGTTATTATGAGTAATTAGTTAGTAAAGTAAATGTGCTTGAAATGGGTAGATAAATGGATTGAAAATGAAACAAAGCTAAAAGGAAGAGCTGAGCCTGATAATGTAAATGAGATTGGTAAAGTTTGGATTGATTTAAGTTGTGATTTCTCTTCTAAAGACAGTTTGGTCTTGTTGTAGTTTGAGTTGATTGATTTTTAAAAGCATTGTGAAGAAAGATAAAAGAAAGAGATGCTAATAATGACAATATTAGAATGGTATTGACAAAAAGAGAAGAGTAGTAGAGAAGAGAAAAGAATAAATCAACAGCATATTATTATAACTGGAATGTGAATATGGTTTTGCTCAATACAAACCTCTTCTGTTTGGCTAGAGGCTTTCTATTTGACAGAATGAAGAAAGGAAAAAGAAAGAGTGTTTGCGTTTCTCTTTTATTTTCCCCAGCACTTCCCCTCCCTCTAAACTGACTAAGAAGCCAACAAAATCTCTGAAATGACTGAGAGAGAATTGACAGTGTTTTTCCAAGTGTTTTTCCCCCTCCTCCAAAAGCTGTCCTCCTTCTCTTGAAAGTTGGGCCTCCATTTATAGAAAAAAGAGGCGGTGGTGTCTGGGTTTGGCCAGACCACTTCTGGTTCGACCGGTCCGTTGGTCGGTTGGAGTGGTTGGGCCAACTTGGGTCGCTGGCATTGGGCCATGCATTTGGACTTGACCATCATTAACCTTGGGCTGGGTTTTAGGACCTAAATTTCAGACTGGAAATCTGGGCTTGAACTGTGGGCTTGTCTTAATCTTGGCCTGATCTGACTTGGCTCCTTTCTTGTTGTTTGGCAGGTCCATTGCTAGTTTCAAAAAGAGAGGGAAGAAACTTGCATTGATTGCGATTTTCATGTAATAATTGTGATTTAGTTCTGATTGTAAATTGTGATTTGGTAATAATTTTAATAAAATGTGCTACTTATTCTTAATTTTTTTTTGTCTTGTGCCAAAAGCATAAATTGGTAGCCAATCGATCCTATTAGATCCACTGGAACCGAATTCGAATAAATTATACAATCGTCGATATTTTAGACTCGCACTGGCCAATCTAATTATCTTATGACATTTAAAGATTAATTAGAATTTATAGTTGAGTAATTGACCCGGACAAAATGGGGTGTCTACAGTTGCCCCCCTTGTATATCTCTTTATGTTAAGAGTTATACAAAGTTCCCGTATAGACACCACATTTTCTCAGTTCAGTGGAGGATTATATTTTGATGGTGAGGTATTTTTCGACAATCGTCATCGCCAATTGTTACATTTTCTCGATGATGACGTAAATGAAGCGCACGTCAACGCTAATTGTTTTTTCTGATGATGACGTAAACGAAGCGCACGCCAGCGCTAACCTTTGAACTCTTTTGAAAATGACGTAAACGAAACGCACGTCCGCGCTAATTGTTGGGGTTTCCTGATGATGACGTAAACGAAGCGCACGTCAGCGCTAATTGATGAGTTTTCCTTATGATGACGTAAACGAAGCGCACGTCAGCGCTAATTGTTGAATTTTTTATAATTAATTGTTTTATGCTTATTAGCATTAGTGTACTTATTTTTATGCTTATTTTGATGGTTAATTGTTTTATGCTTATTTTTCAGGCGCTCTCCAGCACCAGTGTACTTTTCGAACGCTCACCAGCGTCGGTGTCGTATTTTTCAGGCGCTCGCCAGCACCAATTTAGTATTTTTAGCGGTAAAATCAAGCTAATAATTTTGTAACGACATTGTACTCTAATTGTTTGTGATAGAAATCAATCGAAACAATGAGAAAAACGACAACAATGAAATCAAGCTAATCATTCTGTAAGGAAGTTGTACTCAAATTGTCTATGATAGAAATCAAATCGAACAATGAGAAAAAATGACATCGGTAAAATCAAGTTAATCATTTTGTAAGGACGTTGTACTCAAATTGTTTATGATAGAAATCAATCAAACAATGAGAAAAATGAAAGCGGTAAAATCAAGCTAATCATTTTGAAAGGACGTTGTACTCAAATTGTTTATGATGGAAATCGATCAAACAATGAGAAAAATGACAGCGGTAAAATCAAGCTAATCATTTTGACAGCGTCGTCTTCTTCTTCACCTGCACCGACTATGACTCTGTCATCGAGCTCTTCCTCTCTGACAAAAACATCACGGTTTCTTTCCCCTCAACCATCAACAACCTCAGAAACCTCACTCACCGTTATCGAGATCTCACACCGACGAAAACGTAGCTGTAAACTCGTTCGATTCGGTGTCGGTATCGGAAGAAAGAAGAAAAGAGAGGAGGACTGGGAACCCCGACGGAGAAAGAAAGAAGGAATGGCGGGGGATAGAGGCCTCAATCGTAGCCGCCAGAATCGTGGTTCTGATATGATTGTTTGCCTGAGATCAGAGACAGGTCGACGCCTCTACCGTCAGAGTCGATAGCAGGGGTGTTCCTGCCTATGATGGAGACGAGCGGACGGGAGGAGAAGCGGTTGCTGGGGAATGGTATCGGAGTAGATCGAGAGAGACATGTAGGGATTGAAATTGTATTTATTAATTTTAATCTGTTATATTTGGTTAGTTTTACCTTTTTATCCTTGTTGTTACAATAACAACACCATATGTGTTGTTATTCTATCCGGACCCAACAATGACCATCTTTCTGCTTTTGCTCCATCTATGCCAGTGTTAGTCTCACAAACCTCATTGACATTAGACAAGCTACCATTAGCATGGCCCCTGCGGTGGATGTCGCGCAAGTGGTGCTTGGTTGTCATTGCTACGATGGCCCCGCCAACAATTGCTCCTCAGCCGGGACTATAGGTGTCAAAACATGACCCGACCCGAGTAACCCGCCCAACCAACTCGATCCGCGACCCGCCCGCAACCCGATTGGACTAAAAGTCAAAGACCCGCAACCCGCTTGACCCGAACCCGCTTGACCTGCAACCCGCTTAACCCGCAACCCGCTTGACCCGTAACCCAACTAACCCAAACCCGATTAACCCAACCCGAACCCGCACGATTGGCATGAATAATACTACATAATATATTTTTGTGCATAAATATTATATGTAGATAATATATATATACATAAAGTTTACGTGACTTGCCCTATTATTTTTTCATCTTTCTCACCAAGAACAAAGGTTTACTTTGTGTTGACAGGAGGTTAGGGTATTAGGGATTCATTTCACTTTTTTGGTCTCTCTGCCTTTCAGTTGAACAAGTAAAAAGTTTGCATTGTATCAAATTAATTACGTGGACTAGTTGGCTTTTGTGATGGTCTTTCCAATTCAAAGTACATGGTTCAAAGCCTAGCTACATAAAATTCACTTAATGTATAGGGTTTAGAGTTTGGAGCATTAGGACACATGTTCTTCTCAATAACTGAATACAAAATTGACTTAACTAACATTCTTCACATAACATACGTTATAGTTTATACTTTATACCAACAATTTCATAACACATAACTATACTTCATGGTTTAAGGTTAGCGTATATGGTATACGGTAGTGGACTCGTGGTTTAGAGTTTGGAGTCATAGGACGTGTGTTCTTCTCAATAACCGAATATAAAATTGACTCAACTTACATTCTTCACATAACACACGTTATAGCTTATGCCAACAATTTCGTAATATATAACTATAGTATAGGGTATAGGGTCATGGTTTAGAGTTCAGTGTTTGCCTGTTTGGGTTATGGACTTATGGTTAAGGGTTGAGGTTAGTTTTAGGTTAATTACTTAATGTTGTGATTTAGGATAATGTATGGTTGATGATTAAGGTTAGTTTTAGGTTTCAGATTTGAAATGGTGTTATAGGGTTAGGGTTTAGGGTTTCTTCATGGTTATGTTTTATGGTAGATATTTTGGTTATGTTTTATGGTAGATATTTTGGTTTTTATAGTTAATTAATTAATTTTATTTTAACAATTAATTTAACTTGTGAATGTACATCTTAAATACATCATATTAAATGACATTCCGACCAACAGATCGAACAATAAACTAGTTAATCGGTATAAAATTTACCATCTATAATAATAAATATCAAAGAAAGTAAGAACTAGATGTTGAGGAAAATTTTTTAAATGCAAAATTCAATCACGGTATAATCCCGTGAATGATAAAATAATAATTTATTAAAAGAGAGGTACCCCTTCAGCCTTCGTGACAAAAAAATTCCTAAAATATAGGAGGGAAACTTTGCCCCACTTTTCCATTGGAGGAGGGAAACTTTCTTCTACCGAAAAAAGAAGAAGGAAACTTACCCCTTTCCAAATTTTAGATTCCCTCGAAAAATGAAAACAAAAAATCTCGCCTTTGCCTTTCTTTTCCCTCTTCAATTTCCCACCTACTCTCATCGGTTTGCTATCTTGACGATGAAACCCCACTTCATTCTCTAGCTTCCTTCTTTTCTTTTTCTCCTCGTCCGCCTGAGAGCCACGCTGCTGGTGACAAGAACTTGTGTACCTTACTATATTTCATTCTATTATATTTGCTTAAATGTTATGTAATGGTCTCAAGTCTCAACTATCAAGACTCAAGAGATTGTTTCATAGGTTTATGATCAAATAAGTTGTCAGCTTTTTAATTTCTTATATTGGTTTTATAACCTTAATGAATCCTCTGCAACATCAAACTTGTTTATGATATATATTCGAGCAAAATCTAATCACTCATTTGTTTAATAATGTACCTTCATGTTTTTTCACTGCAATATGGTGATCGGTGAGTTTGTTTTAAATTAGTGTAATAACTAATTATAAAAAAAATCGGTGGTTTGGACCAAACAACCCGCAACCCGGCCTGTTGTAACCCGCAATCCGATCAACCCGAACCCGATTGATTCGCAACCCGATCAACCCGTAATCCGAATGATTCGCAACCCGATCAACCCGAACCCGATTTGCCCGCAACCCGATCAACCCACAACCCGATCAACCCGCAACACGATCAACCCGAACCCGCTTGACCCTCAACCCGCTGACCCGCGACCCGACTGAACCCGGCCCGAAACCGGCCCGAACCCGCCCGATTGACACCTATAGCCGGGACCTCCTGCAGCATTCTGGAAGTGTCACTTCCCTTCTAACTTGCCAACTACTATTCCTTTTGGCCTACAAGTCTGAAGGCCATGCGTAGCAATTGAAACTCAAAACACCTTCCTTGCTTAAGCTAACTCCGGTCCTAGCCTTGTTATGCACAACCCCACTAGCATGTCCTCTACCATGCCCTTGCACATGTTCCCTAGCTTCATAACTCTAGTCGGTGCTCAAGGACTGTCCAAGTCTGCCTTAGTATAAACACTTGCCCTAGCGCGCGCCCAACCCTCTTCTCTATCAAATTAGAACTGTAGTTCCTCCTCAATCCTAGACCAAGTTCCGTTTGAAAATGGTGCTCAGAGGGCACAAATAAAGCTTTCAACACCCCTCTATAGCATTGTCTCTCCACACATATCGAGGACAAAGGGTTAAACAAAGCTTTTATGTGAGTGATAAGGTGCAGAAATTGCTCTTACTTAGTCAAGGCTGCGATGCACCAATGTACAAAGCAAAACAAACCCACATGTGCTAAAAAAGTACAAAAATAGGCATGTTATTCATAAAGATAGGAAATAAAAATCTCATTGTCAAACAAAGGTAGAGTGTGCTTAAACGTAAAACTAAAATTTGCGAAAAGGTTCATCCCAACGTTTTGAGACTCTCGAGTTGAGTTAGGAGCTTATGATTGATAGAGATTGGCTAGATTGTCCTTGCGAGATTTGCACCTCATTATTGGGGTTTGATTCTCTAACTGAGAGGGTTGAACTTGTAAACTGCTTATGATCCACTACCTACGTTAGAAAATCACGTGTCATTGTAGAGGTTTATTGAGTTGTACGATTATGCGTAGGGTTTGCTTGGGACAAGCCAAGTGCAAATGTGAGGTTATTGGATGACGCATATGAACTACTATTTTACACCATTTACTATAGCTAGAATTGCATGGTTTTAACATATTTAGGGACATAATAACTTGCCTTTGCTTGATAATAATTCAAGGTGCGATTTATTAGCTTTAGGATTGCTTTTACCATTTTGATGCACTTTTGATAGTGTTCATATTATCTTAGGCCAAAGTATCATAGTGGACTATCTTGTATGAGTGGGAAGCTTCAAGGCACGATTTTTGGAAGTCAGAATGCGATCCCATATCTCAAGGAATATGCCAAACGTTGTGGCCAAGCTGGAAGAGGCCCGACAAACGTGTTCTAGGATGACTTTTCCTCCCAGAAAATCTGATGCAGAGGCCTATAAATAAACCCCTATAGGATAGAAATTCGGTAGGTAGTGATAGGATGCATGAGGGATCATTACTCTAGCAACAAAATGAATCTCCTATTTTTTAGCGAAACCAAATCGAAGGGCAAATCAGTGTCAGAAATGGCGATCTAGCCACTGATTGCTTGTTCTAGACGCCGATTCCAAGGGTAATATGGGGTCTAATTTTGACTAATGTTCCCCCTAAATCACATCCTCATGAGCGATGCCTAGTGTAGATTAGCGAACCCTAGAGGTTCTTTGACTACGTAACTCTTTATTTTGTTATATATGAGTTTGATTTCATCTATCTTTTCTGTTTCATTTATCTGCTTTATTTATTGTTGATTCAATTGTGTGGCTCAATATGAGGACTATCTTCAAAGGATACATCCTCAAACCCTACTTCTTGACTGGATGAGACTAGACACAACAATCCCTCACGATGGATCATCAATCAATTGAGTTGCGTCAACTTCCTCAGATGAGACATCCGTAGGGTCCATATTGTTCCTATTAGTCCTTCTTCATGCCATGACACATGAAAGGAATAAACATAGCATGGATCCAACAACTCATATGCTTTCAGAGTTAAGGTTGCGAGTCAAAGGAACTCTAGGGGAGCTTGGCTATGCAACGCTTCACCCCTATTTCCTTCATCAACCTTTGTATAGGTTTTTTCCTTCTGCTTTGTAATCTTCCTTCGTTTTGTAAAACCAAGGGGAACTTCAACCACGAAAGAACCTCAATCTTCATATTCATTTTAAAATTACATAGATCTTGTCTTTTGCCACCTGAGTAAGTGGTTATGAGAGCCCTAAGGAATTTGATATTGGTAATCGCACAAGATAAATTTAGATATATGTACTACATACTATCAAATTTTGGCGCCGTCGTTGTGGACTCTCGCAACCATCAGAAAGCGAACAAGGTAAGTATTCTATTTTCCTGTTGTTTTTATCCTTTCATTTTTATTCGTCGTTTTACTTCTATTTGTATCTAATTACGGTATTTCTTTCAATCTGTGTTTTAGATTTAATGTTTAGAGTCAAACCTAAAAGGGTCGGAATCGGAATCCAGGGCACCAAATTCCATCTTAATATGACGGCACCAGTGGCAATTCCCATTCCCCTTTTGGCTATGTTTAATTTTTTTTATTCTGCTCGTTTTTATCTTTTTTTATGTATGTGAGTAAGAGTCAGTTTCCAGGGAAAAACCAAAGGAAAATTTATCGGTGGTGAGGGTGTCATTTTATGGGGAAAATCGATGGCCCAAACAACAATTTGGATAGAAGTTTGTCACTTTCATATTTTACTCTCGTCTTTTATGTATGAGCCAAGCACTAACCAGAGGCAAGAAAAACAAGGTTAACCTTGAAAGGCTTGTCTAAGATTGCTTATCAGAGTTGTACTTCTAATTCTTCTGAAACCAAGTCACCACCTTCACCTAGGAAGAGAGGTTTAAGAGCAAACAACTTACTACTCTTCTCCTTAATTCCTAAACCACTCTTGGACCAGTCTTCAGGGGAAAGCAACAAGCTCCCTTCTAAACCAAAAACTTCGGAAGGCTTGGTTGAACGAACTCTCTACGAGTACATGAGGTCTCAAACTGCAAACATAGATTCCAACATCATCTTGCCTCTGATTACTGTACCTAACTTTGAGCTAATAAATTCAACAATACATATGGTCGAGAATGTAGGATGCTTTGAAGGCCATGATAATAAAAACTATGTGATAGTATCAGAGCGTTTATGGAGATATGTGATTTTTCATATCATATAGTGTTTATCTAGACGCAGTAAGGCTATACTTATTTTCTTTCTCCATCTTGAGGAAAGCTAAGAGTTGGCTAAATTTCTAACCATCTAGTACTTTTTGAACTTGGGAGGCACTTGTCCAGGATTTCATAAAGGAGTTCTTTGTAGTGTGGAGCACTGACGAACTCAGGGCCAGATTGCTCGCTTCCGGCAACGCACTTCAGAGTCGTTGTACAAAGTGTGTGATGACAATCAAACTATAGTGCTTATCATTCTCATATTTGATAAATTTTTTATTCTACCAAGGAGTCGGGTTAAGAAATTTAGTTGGCTGTAAATATTCCTTAAAATCACTCTGTAGAACTCGAGCAAGGAGTCACTCAGCTTGGGGAGGCCAAAATAGCATCCATAAGAGGGTGTAACTAGTGAAATGCTTTCCTCGTCATTGGTGGTATCATCCCTCTCTTCTATGTATTGTTAGTTGTTGTTAAGGATGTGAATTCTATTGTTGCTTATAACATCTTCTTTTTATGATATAATGAATATTCATTGTTTATCTATGTTATTCGATGTTTATACCATTAGATGACTTAGTCATGTGATGCTTATTCCATTGAATGTCTATGTCGTGCGATCCTTATGTGAATCGCGTATCTTAGTTTTAGGATACTTTAACCATGCGATGCATTCATAATATATTAAGTGTTACTATAGTGTTGTTTATTATATAATCTTATGTTGCATGGGAAACCCCAACTTATGTGATATGTCATTGTCTTCGGCATATATGGAATGATCAACAGTCTATACCGGGTTGGATCCGGTGCTTAAGCCTATAGGTTTAAGAAAATGCTTAAACTATTCCTATTTGTTGATAGTGGATTAGGTAGTTAGTGGAAGGTAAGTAGTTAATAGGTAGTTGAGGGTAAATTTGGTATTATGTAAATATAATTATTATAATTAATATTATCAATTAATGTTTCTCTTTCTCTCTCCCGACCTTCTCCATAACCCTCTCTCTCCACTACAATTATAATTAGAAAGGAAATTCGTAATTAGTACAATTAAATATTATTATTTAATATTTAATAAAACAAGAATATAATATTTGTCCCTTTTTAAAATGGAAATTGAAATTAAAAAATATCCGCTTTCTCACACTTCGTGGTAACTTGCAATATATTATTAACATTTTGCAATAACATTATCAACGTTTATGAAATGGATTATTTATTACTATACATTGTAGTTATCAACAATTTCAATATACTTATCAATTCATTACAATTACATTATTAACAATTTTGGAAAAGTTGTTACCCCTTTTTTCATTTTTGTCATCAACGCTTATAACTGAATCATTAAAGTTATGTAACATTATCATTAACAGTTTGAATAACAATATCATTAATTTACAACCTCTTTACTTATGATTCACATTTTCACGTCAAGTTTATAACTTTCTCATCATGGCCCACTTCCAAAGACTTTCAATGACATTGTTAACATTTTGCGATAAATTGATATCTCTTTACATTATCGTTCTCAATGATCATAAAGCACAATATTGATTTTCAACATCTTCAACACTTGTGACATAGTGCACTTGTGACATAGTAAAGAAAAATATTAGTTCAAGCAAACCAACATTCACACATGTGCACTAAACTTCTAATAACAATACAATAAATCATTGATAACGAAAAACTATTTCATTGAAACTAAACAAAAAACATCAATAACGTCCGACTTAATTTAAATTATCAAATATCATCCAAAGTGTTCATCAAAATGTTGTTTTTCGTTCAAATCTAAAACAAAAACGTTAAAAATGATAGGCTTTAATATAAAAAATGACATCAAGGCTTTAATAATGATATTCAAAACCATTAATAACAAATGAGGAAATCACTAATAAGAAAATAAAATTTTGTTGAAAATAAAAGAAATTATTATTACTATTCAGATGCAATGTTTAATGTCAAATACCGCTAAAAACGTATTAATAAAATATTCGGTCAAGCTATAAAAAAAGAGTTAATAACTAACATGTGTTTCATGGATAATGAAATGAAAATGGCTATTAATTAACTTCTAAGATATTATTAATATCTTATTTTCAAATATTAATACTCTTATACACACTCATTAATAATTACACCAACTACGTTACTAAATTAGACTAAAAAGGTTAATAAAAATTGTTATATCATTAACAATACCTTACCATCCCCGTTTACTTGCTAGCTATTTCAATCTCTTTCAAAAGATTTGGTAATGATAGCAACTAATAATTATTAATTATCTTACTAGATGTTATTAATACCTTCCTTGTAAGACATTGATAACACTTATATACAACTATTAATAATGATACAAACTACGTTACTATTGTAGACTAAAAGGTTAACAACAATAGTTATATCATTACAATACCTTAGCACCCCTGTTGCTCACTATTTTAGCCCTTATTAAATAGGCGCGACATCATCATCAGCGCTCGTTTGCCGCCGCTTCTTAGGCTTTAGATTCGTCTTGTCGTGGAGAGGTCACCGTATAGTTCCGGCCTGCAGTCGCTCCATGGGTGCGGAAACTAACTCGTCGCCGTCGGCTTCGGCACTCCGCAACAAGAACTCCATCTAAAGCTCGACACCGGCAGTGAGATCTCGTGGTTGCCGACCTGGCAAAACGACCGTCTCGATCGTAGAGCCTATTCCACCTCCAACGTCGGGCGACAGGAAAGTGGACGGTCCATTTTTGGAAGCTACGAGTGTCGCCTGGATCTGGATGAGGAGATTGTTGTGCAGCCGCAAGAGGAGATGCACAGTCGGAAGGTTGAAGGGGAGAGGGAAAAATATTTCCTTCAAACAAGCCGAGGGCGGAGAAAATGTATAAACCCTAACTAAATATATCACGTTAGATTTCAAAATAATTAAAATCTCCTAATGCCCTAATTACCCTTTAACCACCTACTAACAACTAACATCCATAAATTAAATAATTTCCTATAAGTCAATAGGAGAAGTTTAAGCAATTGCTTAAGGTTTTGGGTTTAAGCACCAGAACCCACGCCGTCTATACCAACTATGTGCAACGCTTGATACCTTAGATCATCAATGTCATAGACCATCATTATGGTTCATAGAGGCTCTAAATAGTTGATGTGTTATCCATAATTCCTTCCTCGATTGATTAGTATAGTGGCATGAAGCGAAAGCACGCATTAGATAGTTATAATATTCAACTAAATTGTTTTTTACGGAACAACTAAAAAAATTAAAAATATAGAATAGTGTAACTTCAATCAGTGAAGATATTTTTGAAGCAACTCTTATTGAAGATTAGTCTTGTAGGTGAATTTATATTGTAGGATTTTTGAATGGAAGTATATATCTTGAAATTGCTCTGTACTGTTATGTAATGGCTTGATTATCCCCAAGCAATAAGAATCAATGTTGTTTCTAATTTAGGGGATATCCTACTACCTACAGTCATATGGTGTACTACGAAAATATTGCGTTGTTTCGATGGGAGATTCTAATCATAATGCTAACGTTGTTGATAATTTAGCTAGAATTCAAGTCACAATTAATTTTATTCATCTATTTGTGCACATTTTCAACTATTTAGTCATTACATGTATGTTTTAGGTGATCCTGATGGACAAATGGAGCAACTGAAATCAAAATATTGTTTTGTGTCAGTAAGGATCTGACACTATTGACTTTAAAATAAATGTGTTTATCCAACGAAGAGGATTTGCGTCGGTTATGATTGACACTCAAGTTTTTCCTTAAAGAAACTTTTTTCTCATGAAAAAAAATTAATGCATGTCGGTTTTGGTGTCGGTTACGAACCAACAATGAGTATATTTGTGTGTGTTATGCCAATGGTTCAAAATCACCGACACAAATTTCACATGTGTCATCAAACTTTGAATCCGTTGTACCAACTGACACAAATGTTGTTTGTTTTGATTACAATCGACACAAATAGTACCAAATAACCCACGCAAATACAGTGTTTTCTTGTAGTGGCAACTCATATGTTGCTCAGATCAAGGTTGTGAGTTAAAGGAACTATAGTGGGAGCTTGCCAATGCAACGCCTCACTCTCTTGTTTCCTTCACCAGCTAGTAGTACAGATTTTGTTTCGCGCACTATCTTTTTTCCTTCATTTTGTAAAACCAAGGGGAACTTCAACGCCGGAGGCACCTTAAACTCCACATTCATTTTAAAATTATATAAAACTCGCCCCTCACCACTGGAGTAAGTGGTTGTGTGAGACCCTAGGGAATACCATCCTGGTCTTTGTACTAGGTAAATTTGAATACACGTATTGTACTACACGCAATTGGTGCCCACTTTATGTATCCTATTGATAGTGCGATAATGGACACAGAAGGTTGCATGAAAGCCCCAATTATACTTGGACATCTATTCTTAGCAACTTCAAGAACCATCGTCGACGTGAGTGGCATAGGATATTACATTGAGGTTTGGAGAGGAGCAAGTTCCCTACACCATGACTCCAATTCCTACTTAAGTGGGAAGACAGCTTCTAAATGTGAACCAGTAACTCCTACCCCAATACCTCCCTCAAGTCTAGCAATATAGTGGTTCGATATGATTTTCAACATTGAGCCGAATCAAGAGTATGATGATCTCAAGAAGAAGAAAAAGGAAATGGTACAAGATGCCACCTTTAAGAAGGAGATGAATGATTTGCTTAAGGTGTCTAATGAAGCCAATGTGAAGAATAAAAGTCTTAAGCAACTTATGTTTGAATGGAGCCCCATTCTTAAAGGCAATGTCAAGATGAAAAAAACCAAGGCGGTCAAACTTGACCTGACCTATGAAAAATATTCACCCTGGGTAATTTTTTTAATTGTCTATACAAATAATACAAGTATTGTTTGCTTAATGTGACAGAAACTATCACCCAAAATGAGTGATAGTTAAATCTCAAGTTTTAAGTTAGATTGTTGAGATAGTGTTGCTTTTTTATATTAAAAACAAAGGGTAAAATTGACATTTCACCCAAAAAGTTATATAGCTACTTTAAATACTACAATATGTATCACATGAACCAAATGATGTAAACTACAACGCACCACTTTTCTTAAATAATTGTATAGTATTATAGATACATCGATAACAATGTATTAATATAACAATCACCACAACTAAATGAATACGTGTATTTTTTATGTTGAAAACTATCACATTTTCTCAAGGAGGAGAACTTCGCAACGATGGCGCTATCATCTACTCTTCTCTCCCTGTTCCTCGTTCAATCTCCATTGATTATGGGAGTAAGTATCTTCTTTCCGTACCTACTTCCCGCTTTATCACACCTAGTAAGTTTTCATTTTGCTTCCCATAATTCTCTTTCGCCTCAAGACATCTAGCTTCTATGGTTTCGGTCCATGCCAAAACAAACTCTTCAGTGTTGCATGCTGCAGCGACTGCGAAAGAGAAATCAAAGAAGAAGATAGGGTGGGATGCCTAAATTAAGAAGAACCAGCTTCAGGAAACAGTGCAGTAGCTGGGATGCCTGAAGAAAAACCAGCTTCAGTAAACAATGTAGTAGATCCATGCTTAGTGTGCGACTCCTGCTCACTAGAAATGCAAATGCATTTGAATTCAAGTTTAGGCAGAAGAGATTCTTGTTATCTCTTAGAGAACGTGAAGATGGATTAAGAGCAAGGAGTAGTTCTTATTGAGTTCAAGTGTAAGTTTGAAATTTGGATGGACTCTGGTCTCAAGTATTAGTAGATTAGTTCTTCTTTGCAATTCATGTGTTGCAATTTCCTTATCTTTTCCATACTAATAGGGCATTGGCTCTGCCAACTAATATTGAGCTACCCTCTTGTAAATGGTTGTCAAAGAATTGGCCACCGTATGATTTGTGAAGTGGAGGATGAAGGGAGGAATTTACTCGGAATTGGAGACCTCTTGCAGTGACGGTAAACTACAAAACAAATAGAGTTATAGGTATAATATGCACCTATACTATGCACTTTTATCAAACATGCCCGTATTATTTTTATTATCAAACATATACCTATAGTATAAATCCATCATCAAATATGCCTCTCCGTTATAATAAGCGGTAGAAGACGACAACCTAAGGTAAGCTGTTGCTTTTAAAATTCATTGTTTTGACTTGTAGAAACGACAACCTAGAGTTTAAATATTGATTTTGTATTTGACATCTTTTGCTTTAGTTCTCACCTGTAGCCATAGGTAAAGTTTTACTTTAATTTCCCCTTATGAATACTTTATTGTTTTAAGTTGGTGGGTGTGTAATTTATGGTTGAAAACTTATCGGATTAATTATATGGTTGGTCACTGAGATTACAAAAAACGTTCATGTTTAGTCACTGGAAATATTTAAATCCAATCTTGGTCACTCAAATTAGTTAAATGGTTCAAGTTTGGTCACTCTCCGTCCAACTCTGTTAAATTTGTCTGATGTGGCAGTCAACCCTCAAAGTTGACTATTAACTCGGTGACGTGGCAATTAAAAAATAATAAATAAAATAAATTTTAATCTTCTACCATTTCCAACTCATTTTCACAATAAAGCAAAATAAAAAAAAATAAAAAAATTATTATAATCACAAATTAAAAGAGTAGCTTCCTCCTCCGCCACCACATCCCTTCCTGCAACCAAAGCGTCGCCGGCGTTAGCGAGGCAGAAGGTGATGAGCTCGTTGGCTCCCGTCGCGCCGCCGCCCATCACGGTCTTCTCCGGATCGAACCTCACCTTCTTCCCCCTCGCTCGCTCCATAAATCACGATCTCAGTTCTTCAAGCAAGTCCAATTCCATTCCGCGGTTATTCACTGTCTTCGCCTCCTTCAAGAATGAAACAGTCGAAGCTGCGGGCCTGCGGCGATGATGAGCCCGACTTCCATCCTAGACAGCAAGTCCTTCTCCAGCCTAAAAAACCCATTCTCCCCTGAACTCGCTTCTCCTGCCGCGCCGACGCTCCCAACCGGAGCCAGTACTGGGAAAACCTCAAATTCATCAACAAAATTACCCGCCGAGAGCCGAATGGTTCTGTTTGGGTCCCAGCTCAAGATCCAGATCCCTTCTTCCTTGCTCTCCCTCCCGCCTTCTTCCCCAGCAGCAGGGTCTTCCCCCAGATCTCCGGCCGATTTTGGGATCAAGACGAGGAACTCTCAATTGGGCAGCTCTTTCTCCTCCTCCGGTCTATCCCCATCCCCCGTACTGAAATCCACGACGTTCGGGTCGTACAATTTGGGTCTGGACGCCTCGAACTCGCCGCCGCACCGGGTCTTCACCGCTAGCGAAATGGAGCTTTTCCAGGACTATACCTGCATCATCTCCCACGGCCCCATCTCGAAAACCACTCACATATTCGACGATTGCATCGTCGACGCCTGCTGCGGCGTGTTTAGCCTCGATCCCTCGGTCAAAGAAGCGTCCGACGATTTCTACCCTTTATGAGAGCGTGATTATAATTATTTTTTTTATTTTATTTTACTTTTTTGTGAAAATAAGTTGGAAATGATAGAACATTAAATTTTATTTTATTTATTATTTTTTAATTGCCACTTCACCGAGTTAACGGTCAACTTTGAGGGTTGACTGCTACATCAGACAAATTTAACGGAGTTGGACGAAAAGTGACCAAATTTGAACCATTTAACTAATTTGAGTAACCAAGGTTGGATTTAAATATTTCCAGTGACCAAACATGAACATTTTTTGTAATCTCAGTGACCAACCATACAATTAACCCAAAACTTATCTGTTGGGTCAAGAATGGATAATCCCAGTCCCACAAAGATTTTTCATGTTAGAGGCAACTTTACAAAGGGTGGCGGTGATGTAATATATGAAGGAAGTGAAGATTTGTCCTATTCTAAACTTGATCCTGATGTGATCAGCACTTGGGATCTAGCCGAAGTGGTAAAAGAAGAGGCAAATTTGGTTCATGATTTTCAGATGTACTTCAGATCGTGTACAGGACAGGGGGATGAGGCTTGGAGAGAGTTATGTGATGATATAGCTATTATAGAGTTCCTTAATCAGTTTAAGAGCAAGAATGAATACCATGTCTACATTAAACACTCATTGTCACCAGAAGTAGAGAAACATGATGTTGCACAGGATTTCAATGATAGAGTGACAACAACAGAGGGATGCACTCCCAGGAGTCCTACCCGATAAGACCTCTCTCCTGCGCTGCCTCACCGTCGCCGGAAAACAGGGGCGCTGTGAGAAGCTCGGTTTTCAGAGCTTTTCTTGCCTCAAGGCCGTCAGCATGAACCACCCATTAAGAAACCCTCCTTCAGGTTTCTCACACTCGTTATGTCGCCATTCGTAGCCCGATTCGCGGCTAGTTGCTGTTGATCGGAGCGCACCTCCGCTGGGGATAGGGGCTTCAGCGAAAACTTCTTCTCATCGAACTTAAACTTATAGAAATTTGTTCCTCCATCGTGGGTTACTGCTAGATCAAATTGCCAGGGTCGTCCCAGCAAGAAGTGGGCAGCTTCAATAGGTGCAACATCACACAACAATTCATCCTTATAGCTGCCAATTTCAAACACAACTCGAGCCTACTTTGTTACCATAATCGACTCGTAGTCATTGAGCCAGTGCAAGCTGTAAGGCTCCAAATGTTTGATTGTTGCTAAACCCAGCTGTTTGACGGCGTCGTGGCTAATGACATTTGACTAGCACGAAACTACACCACAATAAAACCCCAATTAGAGCCCAAGTTTTTGAACTCTAATCGGGTGCAGTATAGGGAAAGTATTAGATATCGACCCGGGCCAGTCCGTCTACCCCTACTTCAGTTGTTGAAATAATTATCTAGCAACAAAACTTTGGTTTAAAGTTTTGCTAATTGAAATAAAAGAGAGCAAAGGTGATTGGGTTTGAAAACTCTTTTGCGGGAAAGTCACTCGGTGTCGCTTCCCCCTAACCGCTACCATGCTATGTGAATTGGAACGATGCCTTTGGACATGATAATCGCGAACCGCAGAGAGATGCATATGTGGTCGGAGACCGCATCTCAATTTCTAAACCGAGGTAAGGATGAAAGGCCATGTCACTCGACCCTCTCGGTTTAGACAATCGGTAATTGACTTACCCCCTCACTCAACTCTAAGGTCGGACGGTTTAATCACGATTAATCGACTTGCTTAACTCAATATTGAGGGCCGCCCTAACTTAATCTAGTTTAGGTGGCTTAGAAAGTAGAAGGAAACCAACTCGATTGAGTCTCACTTGAAAGGGGAATTTTCCTCTCTAAACTAGGCTAAGGTGGCAAATTAGATTACTAGCACCTAAATGCACAAACCTAGGGGTGTTAAGCACAATTATGCACAATCCTTAGGTTGCTAAGAACCTAAATGCACAAACCTAAGGATGCTAAGCACAAAACATGCACAACCCCTAAATTGCTAAGCACAAGCATGCACAATCATGGTGAATAATACCTCAATCATTGAATTGAACAATACCCAATGACAATCATCCAAAACACATACAAGAAAACTACATGGTATAGTTAGGGTTTCACTACACCCAATTGAAAGGAGGTCTACTCCATGCTAGAAGTGGGGAAAACAAAAGGAAAAAAGGTGGAAACCATCTTTGAGGATGCTCCTAGTCTTTTTGACCCTTGAGTTGAGATTTCCTTGGGGGAAATCTTCCCAAAAATCTATCTTGAAGCCAAACCCTAACCTTCTTCTTCCCTTTGGTTATGTTTCTCTCACTAGAATGCTGAAGAAGGTGTTTCACACAAAAGTGGGCTCTCTCCTCTCTCTTCCTTTCAGCTCATCTTTTAAACTCGAGATGAGTTGCGTTCACGGCCGTGAACCATGAAACGCGTCCGTAAACTCTAGGCGTGCGCCAAAACGCGCCGCATCGCTCACCTTTGTTCACGGTCAACTGTCTTTGCTCACGGTCTTAGTGACCGTGAACTCGCATTGCGTCAGTAACCTTCACATTGGCTTTGGACGCCTCGCGATTCACATTCAACTCCTCTTCTTCACGGTCTTGCATAACTGTGAACTCCCTCAGTTAGCCGTGAACTGGCTCATTTTCACCTCTTCTCTCTGGTTTTGATCCTTTTCGCCAATCTTTGGACTCCGAGGTCGGTTTCACCTGTTAAATCCCGAAACACACTCAAACACGAAGAACCTAGCGTAAAACCAACCTTTTAAGAGCGAATTTGGCACAAACATCTAAGCAGAGAGGGAGCAAAACATGTGCAATTAGGCTCGAATCAACATTCGTACAACTGCCTCCATCGACGACCACCAACACGCACTTACCTCCCACTACGCATCGTGTGTGGAAAAGATTGTTGCGTTGGTACGCTTCAGCCTCTTATTCCAACGTTAGATCACGAAGGTTCATTCTAGACAAAAATGGACATCGTTCAGCCTCAATTTCTTCATCAACTTCCTCCTTGGATGAACCATGATCCACCTTCGGAACCCTGCCTTCATCGTCAGAAACATATTCACCATCTCGTAAGACCCGAGTCTTGATATTCGGGCACTGGTTTGCCTTATGCACCCTACCATGACATTTTAAAACATTGAATTGAACCGCTCAAAGCTCCTATGCGCTCATATTTTCACGGAATTGCATTTCGAGGTGGCGGCATGGGTGTTTCCAGTTTAGATGGAGGCAGGACAGCCTCGGTAGAGCTCTCCCATGCAGCCTTCGAGCTCGAAAAACGTCTTCCCAAGGTGAGTTTCTGTTTTTTCTCTACCTTAACTGTGAGGTGAACCACCTCTTCAAGGTCAACAAAGGATCTGAGCTCGACCTCGTATCAAACATCACGATTCAAAACATGTAAGAAACGTGTGATTGTAGCCTCTCTGTCTTCACGCACGGCTGCTCAGAGTAAGAGCAACTCTAGCTCTCGGAAATACTCCTCGACACTTCGCGATCCTTGACGAATGTTTTGTAATGAATCATGGAGCTCACGTAAGTAGTATGCCGGCACAAAGCGCTCTCTCATTAGCCCGCGCAATTCGTCCCATGTAGCCCAAGATCCTGTATGTTTCATCGGCGACGGACTTGCAATTACTCCCACCATTGGGCTGCGTAGTCCACAAACTCATACGTGACCAATGACCATCGCCAACTTCTGTGTTCGTGGAATTGACCACATTGAAAGAAGAGGACGACCATTCTTTCCCAGTCCAAGTATGCCGCAACACTCATCGTTCCTTGAAACACTGGAATTGTCAATTTGATTCCCTGAGGAATAGTGGCTTCTGTTTCTTGAGGCCTTCCCTGAAATTCCCGATTACGATGCTCGACCTCAGGATCATGTACCACCAATTGCTGCTCTAGCTCCTCAACTCGAGCCCTGAGCTCGCGTTTATCTCGTTCTCGACCCGCTTCTACATCCCGTTCTCGTTCTTCTCTGTCGCGACGAGTCCCTGCGTTTTGGGCCGTGTCTGGTGTTGCCGGTGACAGAGCATCGAGCCTCTGCTTGAGCTTATTGAACTGTTCCTGGAACAAGGAACTCATCTAAGTCAAAAGCTCGACCACGTTCCCCTGTTTCTGCATCAAGGAAGGATCGGATTGACCCTCTGTTTTCAACGGAGCACTCTGTTCCTCTGTTCACTTTTGCCAAAGAGCAGGGTCTTCCGAGACCGATCCCTTCGACCTCGTCCACGACATAGCTCCGGCAACGCCCTTCTCTATTCTGTCCACTATGTAGAACCATGATCTGATACCATTTGATAACACCCAACCAGGCTTTTTGATTCACAAATCGAGCTTGGAAGGCAAGCTCGGCAACTCGTACAAGAAACCAAGCTTTCAACGTCAATTTAAATAAAAAGGATGGAACTATTGTGCAATCCTACACCTGGAGGAAGGCTCAATAAGTATATGTCGAAGCTCGCCCACGATCAAGGTGGTTTTTGATCGATACAAGAGCAAATTCGAGTTTGGTTTTCTCGACCAAACTCTCAACCAAAAACTAGCTACGAGACTTAGTTTTAGGGGTTTTCAATCTTATTCCATAATCTACTGACTATTACAGTGTTTTGTAGTGTTTAAATAAGCCTAAAAATGAACCCAATTCAACAAGGAAAACGATTTAAACAAGAAAACTAAAAACAGTCCCAATCCGTATAAAATAAGGAAACAACTATGCTTTTCTGCGCAAGTAAGAAAACAGGTCTCGATGCCAACTTCGAGCCTCTCAAACGACGACCTCCTGGTGCGCAATGCTTCAACCAATGCCTTGTCTCTGTAGACGAAGAAATGTAATTTCGTGAGGTATGGAGCTCCGGACTCGACTCTCAAGTCGTGAATGGAACTTCAAAGTGGCCTGTCTGACCATCCTCCAGCATTAGCCAAATTCTGACTAACTTTCTGTGTTGGAGTAGGTTTTTGGCGAGCTTGAAACTCGAACTTCCCAGCCTTCCCTCGATGATCCAGATGCTCCAAATTATAAAGCAGCTTACCAGCTTCATCACGAACCGT